AGGGGGGGGGGGGGAAGCAGGGATGGGCAGGTGTTGGAAAAAGACAAGTGTCCCAGGTTGCTCTTCAGCTGAGTAACAGGAAAGGGCAAAACACTGCCTTTAGCAAGGAATGTATTCATATGTAGCAGAAACATCTCCTCTAATTCTTTGTGAATCCACCATCTTTGGTAGTGAGAAGAATACAATGGGGCAAAGGAGAGCATGAATTGGGCATGCATACAGAAGGTGGACAGAAGCTTTTGCTGTGCATTATGGTATATGGTAGTCTTTCCCCCTAATTTGTAGCCCTACAGATGTATTAGACTCTAATTATCACCACCCCAGCCATGTGGCCATTGGCCAACACATCTGGAAGCCACAAGGGTCATGGAATTCAGGTAAACCGACAGTCTTCTCACATGGCTATAATATCTGTATGGGAAAGCAATCTTGGGTAAAGTGCATCAGTTTCCTGGACACCTACTGACTCTGAAATATCCAGAACCAAACTGATGCTTTGCCTACCACGAATTATGTGTCTTTGATTTCAAGCTGACTCTGTCAGGAGAGGTAAGCCTTGATAAGAATCACACACAAATGGTGCTGGAAGCCACTGCTGTGTCTGCTCTGCAGAAAAGAGCCTCTCAGAGAGCAATGAAAGGGGCATGCGAATGGACTCGCTCAATGCCGTTGCGTATACTAGCGGTGAGTGGGTGTCTAAATGCTCAATGCTCAAGATATTTTATGCTATTCACAGAATCCCAGTCTTCTAAAATATAATCATTTCCCCAGAATTAAAATCAATTTCCCACAGAGCTCTTCTTGGGGGTTTGTAGAAGTCATTTCTCCAAATACCATCCCTTCCCATGTGGCAGATTTAGAAAGGCAAAACACACAAAATGACATCGCATTCATGTCACGAGAGTTAACTAAAGAGGCAGAAGCTAATGACGTGGAGCAGGGGGAGGAAAACCTGGAAAGCAAACGCTTTGCTGTGCACTTCTTTTTTCCGGAGATTAAATGGTGGGTGGAGGGTTGGGAGGAATCCAGGAAAAGATGCAGGGTGGCTTGCTTTTGTCAGCCACCACCTGCAGTTTCAGCTAGAGCTCTGTTACTAACTCGTGCACCTTCATCTTCCATATCTTCTGGCGCACCTTGTAAAGAAAGGCAGTCATAAAGCCCAAGAGCACATTTTTTTCAGTGGTCAGGTTTCAGGCCATCATGTTTATGAAACTTTTGGGATGCAGTGTTCCGTAGAGCTTTCATAAGCTTCTGATCATATCCTTCCATATTCAGGTCTCCCTTCTAAATGGAAGAAAACCACAAAATCCTCTAGAAATCCAGTGGACTTCAATTATAGCAGCTAGAACAGCACTAGCAGTACTAGTGGTGGTAGTCGTTTCTACTTGAAAACCCACTGAATGACAGAAGATTGTGTTTCTGGGAAAGAGCTGCTCTTGACATAGAACACCAATGCTGCAGACTGGATTAAAACTTGTTTTTTACGAGGTCCAGCTTATGAAAGAAGTGTGTGCTCTCTCTCTCTCTCTCTCTCTCTGTGTGTGTGTGTGAGAGAGAGAGAGAGAGAGAGAGAGTACACTCTTTCTATATCTGTCCCCCTGCCCTGTCAAGATGTGAAGCCTTGAGTGTACAGAGTAGAAATTCTCAACCTATGTTTTGGCTATGGCCATAAACACAATATGAAAGAAATACTGTACACGGGTGCCTCGACTTACGAACATCCTGACATACAACCATTTCGAGTTACGACCAGCTCCAGCCACAAAATTTTCCTTTGACTTGCAGCCAGAGCTTTGAGTTACAACCAAAAAAAAGGGAGGGAAAAAAGGCGGGGAATTCAAATTGCTAGCCGTTGGTGGCAGAGAGGATGCTTCTTGGTAGCACTTTCACCCCAGCGGTTAGAGTGTGTGTGATCGGAGGCGGCTTCAGACTGCCTTGTAAGGTAAGGTGCTGCTTTCTGTTTTTTAAAAACTGTTCTGGGTGGGTTTTGTAGCGTGGTTTTGGGCTGGGTGGTGGGATTATGTTTCTATGCTGTGATGGGTTTTACAGAGTTTGCTTTTTTGGTGTTTTTTCCCCATTTCTGATGGGTCTTGCGGGTTTGCTTTTTGCTTTGCTTTTTTTGCATTTCTGATGGGCCTTGCACAGTTTTTTTGCTTTCCTCTCCCATTTCTGATGGGTCTTGCATGGTTTGTTTGCTTTTTGTTTGCTTTTTTGCATTTCTGAAGGGTCTTGCACAGTTTGTTTGCTTCCCCCCCCCCAGCCAGAATGGATTAATTGCGTTTCCAATGGGTCTTGCAGTGTTTTGTTTTGTTTTTTGGTTGTTTCTTTTCTTACAGTCATGTCATCTTCTGCTTGCTGCAGAATGCTGCACAATGGTGGAGGGTGGGGTTTCACTTAACTGTGGCTTATTTTTGGGGTACGGCTTATATTATGAGCATCCTGAAAAATCATACGAGGGCTTATTTTCAGGTTAGGTCTTATTTTTGGGAAACCAGGGTAACAAGGTCACCATATCATAACATTCCTGAGAGTTGAACATGTTTATATGGCAATGTGTAAATATGGAGGTCTTATAGTTTGCACTCTTCGTAGTACCAATACCTTGGAGTTATAATATCTTGGTGTTACAGTATTCTAGTGTGATAGGCCCTTAGTACTCCAAACCTTGAAAAATTTTAGTCAAAACAATGACAGTTTCATCATAATGGAGCCTGCCAGCTTCTAAGTTACAAACCCTTGGAATCACAAAGACTGCAGGAGCAACAGAATTTCCTACTGAAAAAAAAATCTTAGATGTATCAGGTTGTTGGACCTCCAAGCCCTACAGAAAGGATTGCTGACAGTGGATGAAGGAAATATAAAAATATAAACAACAGCCAGAAAAGATAGCCAGGGCATGGAGCAAGGGATGTCAGGTGAGCACCATTAGAGGGAAGAAAACTCTGCTAGTGTGTTTTGAAGACTTTTTTTTTGATATGCCGATGTGATGGTAGAATAGCTTATGCTCTACTTTAGACTACTGATGACATAGTCTGTTAAGATATTTTTCACAGATGTAACTTAATTGAGACTTAATTTTGTATCAGAGAATATACCTTTGTAATACTTTTTATTGTCAAGTACTGTGTAACACATTAGACTAGCCTTGTTATTTTATTCTTAAGCACCTTATTTTTTGTTAGAGCATTTTTCAATTTACACTAGTTACTTATATTTTTCATTCAGTTCATTACGTTCATCATAGTTACATTCCTACAACATTGTATTATGTTTTTATAGTTAGGTGGGGTTTTTGGATGTTCAATAGTGAATTCAACAGATTAAAAAAAACAATATAACATATTTGTTTCCCCAAAAATAAGACAGGGTCTTATATTAATTTTTGCTCCAATAATGCATTCGGGCTTATTTTCAGGGGATATTTTATTTTTTTCATGTACGACAATCTACATTTATTTAAATACAGTCATGTCATCTTCTTCTGGTTGATGCACAAGGGTGGAAGGCGGGGTTTTACTTAACTGGGGCTTATTTTGGGGGTAGGGCTTAGATTACGAGCATCCTGAAAAATCCTACTAGGGCTTATTTTCAGGTTAGGTCTTATTTTAGGGGAAACAGGTTAAATAGATCTGCTTGCATGTGCCTGTTCCAAAACAAACAAACAAACAATCAGAAGAAGTAGAGATATTCTTGGACACTCAATCTGTCTGTCTTGCACTGGGCAAAGAAACGGAAGGATATTCAGAAGGAAGAATTGTACAAGGTGCAAGATATTCCTCTGAATCACACTAGAATTAACCTTTTTATAGGGATAAAGGCCAGCTGTGATGAACACAGGCTTTTGAGTTCCCCACCCCAGAGGTCTATAAAGTGCGGCAGGGCTCTCTGGGAAAGGTGCAGGGGTCCGTTTCCCTGACCTGACGGCCCCGACTGTTATTCCGCTCACCAGTGAAAAAGGAACTCACCAGCAGATGAGTCCGGCTACCACAGCAGTCCAGGTAACGCAGCAAGAATTGGGCCTTTTTGTTTCCGTCTCTTCTTCCTTCTTGCAGCAGCACAGGCAGATCATGTAGATGCCAAGGAAGACCAGGTTGAGACCCAGGAAGACAGCTCCCCAGAGGGCCAAGAAGACCAAGGACTAGGGAAAGGAAAAAGAAGCAGGAGAGATGATTTGCATTTGTTTGCTTATATATATATAAACAACACACACACACACACACACACACACACACACACACACCCCTGAGCCAACAAGATTAACCTGAGCCAAAAAGCCTTCAAGCAAAACCTTTTTCCATAAAGCAGAATGAACATCACTTACTCCTAACTCCATGTAATAATTTATATTAAAATACAAAGCAGCCTTGCATTTTCTTTTTGTTGTTACAAGAGTGTTCTTTAGTTTAAAAGTTTGCAACACAGAAAGATAGTCAGATGAGATCAAGCACCACCCGAGGGCAACAGAAATGACAGTCTATTTACATAAAACCACTTGAAGCTGGTTTCAAACTAATACCATAATGAAAGGTTTCAGGTGCCTATTTGGAAGATTCCACTTTCTGCACATTTAAAGCTTTTCTTCTTCTTCTTCCTTCTTCCTTTTCTTTTTGGCAAAGCAAACACACTTATCTCATGAAGTGTTTGGGAAAGTGTGCAGTCTGCCTCATATAATACTTCAGAAGTGCTACCCTCCCAAAAAAAGGGCAAGGGAGGCATAAAAAAGGCTATCAGGTATAAATATACAATTGCTGAAATCCAGTAGCAAGCCGCAGGTAAAGTGCGCCCACTGAATGAATGGAACTTACGTAAGCGTTGACTCACCAAATTCCCACTGATTCAATGGGCCTACTCTAGCAGCAAGTTAGTATTGGATTTCAGCCCACAGGGAAGGCAAAGAAATACTTATAATGCCAGCCCAATTTAACTGTATGTTGTTTAATAGGGAAATTGTGAATACTATTTATCCAGTTTGACTGTCCTCACTCCACAGTGTATTCAACACTATTTACCAGCCGCACAGGAAAAGGAAGAGCAAAGACAACTGAAGTGGATCATTCTGATGTTCAGAATTTCCCTAACCAATCACCATACCATTATAGGGTTCTGAAATACATTTTCAGATGCAAAATGTATTTCAGAGCCCTATGTATACATTACCCCATTGTTTTCATTAGAATATGCTGAGATCTACACACTGCTGGGGATAATTCTAAATCTGCTGCAATGTGTACATTGCCTCTCCTCATGGAGAAGTCAGCAAACAACAAAGGCTCCACCAGGCAGCCCACAGGACAGATCCCTACAGCCACCACGGGAATGATGTAGCTAGCCCAGCAGTTCCCAACTTTGGGTCCCCAACTGTTCTTGGACTAAAACTCCCAGAACCCTCCACCACTAGTTGTCCTGGCCAGGATTTCAGGGAACTGTAGCTCAAGAACATCTGGGGACCCAAGGTTGGGAACCACTGGGCTAGCCTATGCAGCTGCAAGGCTGTAGGCAGAGGAATGCTTTTGCACGTCACAACTGTGTCACCCTCCAGCCTTGGAGAATACCGCCAGCACTGAACACCAGGATCTACAGGATCACTGCACTTTCACTCAGAGCTTGGAAAAGTTACTTCCTTTCGGACTCTTTACTGTCAGAATTCCTTGGATATTGACATTGCTTGTTGGATGATTCTGGGAACTGGAAATCCAAAAAGCAGCTTTTCAAAGCTCTCCTGATAATTGCTTCTCTTCACGCCATACCATAGTCAATCTCCTAATTTAATTAACCCACTCCTTTGTAATTATGGACATCTGGGCCCCTCCATCCATCCCTCACAGTTCAAATACCCCAACCAAGGTACCACCGAAAGAAATAAAGTCAAGGATCATAATATAGAAAAAGCTACTTCTGAAGCAATCAATGCTACTGTATTTGGGCATGTGGGCACTGCCCCACTTCCAAGCAGTTAGAAAAGGCAGCAGAGGCCAGACCTTCTTGCTCCAGAAGAGAAGCCTTCTTTCTGAACTAGTAGAAGAATGTATTACTCAGTTCAGTTAGATCTGTTAGTGCAGGGGGAAAGGAAGGGAACAAAACCGGAATTACTTAGCCCCCACCTCCTTTTACCGTGGCTTCCCTTCCATAGGACATTCTGCTCCGCAGGCTTGATAGACACAGCTAGCCCCTCTTCGAGCTGTGAGAACATCACATATATAAACGGTTCTACACAATGACAGGGCAAATGCATTGTCACCAACCGTATCATCAATGTCCACTGTTAATAGCATATTTATTACAGAGCATCAAAAAATGAGTTAAGGTAGGCCTACAGCTAAAATCCAAAGACAAATCGGGAAAACATAGCACAGGGTGGGTCCACTTGCTCTGACAAATAGATGAAGAGATCAAAGCAACCAGATAAAATCTACCCAGCAGGCTAAAGGGAAGCTCGCCAGACATTTGGCCTCTGTTTAAGGCTCTGGCCTGTGGGAAGGCTATGCCTCCAATTAGACTGAACAAGATACTGAGGAATAAAAAGACAACAGGCATGAGATGCTCTGGCAGGATCAGTTCCCATAATTTCTTCTGAGCAACACGGGCTGGTGCCAGCCTTTGAGGAACATTCGGAGGGAGAATGGAAAGAGAGAGGGGGACAATGCAGCAGATTTTCAAGAGGACACTTGAAAGTTCAGGCGCAAAATAAAAGACTGTGAGGCCCAAGCAGAGCTGTGACTAGGAATGTTGGCATCCAGGCCAAATGGCTGAGTCTCCTATCAATTCCATGCTGAAGAAGGGGCATGAACCATCACCAAGAAGAGAAAGGGGGAACCCTTTGACTGGTACCCCTCAAAAGAAAGTGTCTTTGCTTTTTTAAAAAACAAAGGGGGAGGAGGCACTGCTGTTTATTTTCCTAACATCCAGCAATAGATTTGTGTCTAGATTTTCAATGCCCTCTAAATCTTGGCGCTCTAGGGCATAGCCCCAGTTGGTCTGCTCTAGTTACAGCCCTGGGTCCAACTATACATCCTACCCTGACTCTTCTTCACCAAAATTGCGAAATGACCTTCTGATTATGTTTAATAAGCATGGAATGATTTTACTAAGTAAAGGTAGACACTCTCTCCTTAGATGTCGAGCTGGATAAATGCATTGGCAAAGCAGCTACCATGTTCTCTAGACTCACAAAGACAGTGTGGTTTATTAAGAAGCTGACAGCAAGCTACCATGTTCTCTAGACTCACAAAGACCGTGTGGTTTATTAAGAGGCTGACAGTATATACCACCAAGATCCAGGTCTATAGAGCCTGTGTCCTCAGCATACTGCTGTACTACAGTGAGTCCTGGACCTTTTTGTGCCTCTGATGCATTTTTGGTATCACCTGGAAGGACAAAGTTCCAAATAGAGTAGTCCTAGAACGAGCTGGAATTTTTAACATGTATACATTACTGAAACAGCAACATCTACATTGGCTTGGGCATGTCATGAGAATGGCTGATGGCTGGATTCCAAAAGATCTCCTGTATCGAGAATGAGTGCAGGGAAATCACCTCAGAGGGAGACCACAGCTGCGATACAAGAATATCTGCAAGCGGGATCTGAAAGCCTTAGGAATGGACCTCAACAGATAGGAAACCTTATCATCTGAGCATTCAGTCTGGAGGCAGGCGGTGCATCATGGCCTCTCCCAATTTGAAGAGACCCTTGTCCAGCAGGCCGAGGCAAAGAGGCAGTCCCGAAAACAGCAAAATCAGGGAGCTGGACAGGGGACAGACGGTATTTGTCTTCAGTGTGGAAGGGATTGTCACTCTCGAATTGGGCTCCTCAGCCACACTAGACGCTGTTCCAAGGCCTCCATACAGAGCACATTATCATAGTTTCTCGAGACTGAAGGAGATTGAATGCAGGTGGGTAAACTGTTCTATTTCTGTTCCAGAAGAGATGGCCCAGCAAGTTCTGTTGGCTCGATTCACCTGGGTGCCTTCTGTGTTTCATGTACCTTGATGCACTATCACGGCATATTTTTACAAAGCAGGAAAACACAACTGGCCTTGTTTAAGAGGAGAAAAAAAATTAAGCCATAGAATAAACGAAGATATCGGTGAGAGGTCACTCTGACACAAGGAAGGAACTGCACAAAGGTCACCATCAGGATGTTAACTCAGCTGCTATGGCAATCCACTCTTCCCTGGAGATATCATCTATGAAATTATCCACCACATTGCTTGGAATGGATTGCTTGAAATTCTGATGATTTCATAAATAAACTCTTTGAATGGCAAGGCTACCAGTAGGCAGCATTCCTAAGAATTACGCTTAGCAAGAAAACTAGTCTTTAAATTCATTAGTTCTGGGTAATGTACAACAGGATTGTGAGACTGGAAATGTAACCAATGTGAAGTTAAGGGCTGCTCTGGCTATATTCGCATTCACTAATCTGCATTAGAAGCATCTCATTGTAGGCAAGAGGTTGGGAAACTGGTTTGGGGTATCAGGACGGATAGATACCCCATTACCCTTCTTAACCCCCAATGGATCACATGCTGTCATGGACATGCTATCCTTTGCCATCTGAAATGACAGGTGCAACTTTTCCACTTAGGCTTTGTTTCCTTCTAGGGTGGCTACATATCCTTTTTTAAGAAGGACACTCTCCCATTTCAAAAGCAGCAGAGGACAACCCTCATTCGTCTGTCTGTTCTCTGTCTGAAAGACCGTCTAGTCCTAAGTCTCATTTTAACCTAACCTAGATGCCTGCTCACCCTGAGCACCTGGACAGCAGTCTCAGCAGACACCATGCCACCACCTTCCCCACTCACGTTAGATGCACCGTAATTCTGTTTAAACAAACAGACAAAAAAAATACCCTGTCACTTTTGCATATAAATTGGTATTTGCATTTTTATGCAAATCCATATCCTCTTTTGCCCTTCACTTTGCCAATGTGCAAGTGACTGCCCTACCTCCCTGTCCACCTCTGCCCTTCTGGCCAAGAAGACAGAGGAGTGGACTGGAGTTCCTTCTGCTTGAGTCTACGCTCAGACTGGATTGGGATGCAGCAAGCTCTTGCAGAGACCTGCTGGAAATGGGATGAGTAGTTCCTGGCATCTCCGGTTAGGGGCCAGGATGAATAGTGGAGATTCCTCCAAAACTGC